GCCACGCCCACGCCCACTGACACGGCGGGAGAAGCACCCAATGAAAGAGCAACTTCATTTGGGAGAAGACAGGGTGGCATCACAACCCAGCAGGACGGGCCTTCTATGAAAGTGTCAGAGCGGCGGGAAGCTGGCTGCAGAGCCCCGAGCAGAGGAAGGGCGAACTTGGTCACGCAGAGGGGACGTGCCAGCTGCAGACCCCGTGAAGCAGTGAGAAGTGAGGGCAGCAGAGAGCGAGGCTGGAACCAGAAACGGAAAGTGGACCCGCAGGGTGAAAGGGGGACACGAGGCAGAGATGGCACCAGGACTGTGACCTGGAAAGTGACATCTGACATGAGGGAATGGGCAGCGGGTGGGGGAGCTGCTGACGAGGTGAAGACGCCTGCGTGTGGGGTCGGACGGCACGTGAGGGCTCTCCTCTAAACACCCCGGGCTCCTGCCTGGTCCTCGTTCCTCGCTGCCAGGCAGCGTCTTTCTGCTAGGAGGGTGACTGTCCTTCCTCCATCCGGTCCTGTCACAGCCCACAGACACACACAGCTCAGCCTGCTCCCTGTCCCTGTGACCGGCATGGCAGCAGCCCCGCGGAATTTGGCAAGAACTTGACCGTGGGCAGGTGGTGGAGCAGGATGCTGTGGCATCAGCCTCTGGGGGGGCTCCGTGGGTCACAGGGCAGGCGCCACCCGGTCTGCTGACTCTGGGCAGGGTGGAGGGGCAAACCCTCGCGATGTGGCCCGGAAGGGGATGGCGGGTACTCGGGGCCATGAGAGAGACTAACCACACGCGCTCACGTTTTGCACGTTTTCTGGTCTACAGCAACACGGATTTCCTAAGTGGTGGCTGGTGATTCCTAGGTGCCCCCTTACGGGTCAGATAAGGGTGACCAGCGTCCTTGGAAACCGGGGTTGCTGTGACCTACAGCTAGAAAGTAAACTCACACGGGAAGGTCTTTCTGTAAGACTGATCTGACACCAGCAGAAGTCCCCCCAGCTATGCTCATCACAGCTGCTGCTTCTCAAGTACTGCTGCGTCCAGTGCAGGCGCCGCACCCGCTGCTCAGGTGCACGCTTGTCCCGACGGCGAGGGAGAGGCCCGGCCCGCAGCGCAGCCACTCACGGTCACCCGAGGGAACGGCCCTCACACTGCCACTGTAGCTCATAGTTTGCCAGAAGCCGCCTTCTGAGAGGTCTCGGACGGAGGGCTGACAGCCCTGTGATGCCAGCGTGGCAACGTTAGGGGACAGCGACCCTGAGCCCAGGGGCAGTGCTGCCAGGAAGGGTCGGTGGTCCCCAGGTCGCTGTGGGCGAGACTTTCTAGCCTCCGTGCGGCCCTCCTGACACGTGGTCGGGGGAGGTGAGGGTTGTTTTCATGGCCCTAAGCCATGACAGATGGCGGATGGCTAACCTGGCTGCCCCGTTTACTGCAGTCCCGAGTGAAGATGGAGTGCCATGCTGTGACTCACAGAGAGCTGAGTGTCGGCTGCAAAATGCCCAAGCTGAAACGCTCTTCTCTGACTGGGTGGGGCGCTCGGGCTCGGGCGATGAGCATGCTCAGTGGGCCCTGGGCTGGGCTCTGCAATGCGGCCCTTAGCGTCCTCGGTCAGTGAGGCTCACTCAGGCCTTGCAAAGCGCGATCGCGGTGGATGGCAGGAGGCATGTGGGGCATGCTTCCCTCAGCCCACGATGCTGGGTAACCCACCCACCTGCACTTACATCCTCACTGCAACAGAGGACGGGTGTGGGGGCTCTCACGGGGTAGGGAACAGCGGCCTCCCTGGGGACAGTGCAAGGACACCTTTCCCAGGCCACGAGCCCTGCAGCTCAGAGCCAGGGAGGAGCCACAGCAACCGGCTGTGCCCCCAGACCCAGTGTGGGAAGCCGCAAGTAGCCCGCGTCAGCGGTCCTCCTCTGTGTCTTTGGGACTCCGTGGCTCCCATCGCACCCTCGCGTGCTCACTCCGCTCCCTCCAAGGCCTTCGGAGGAGCCACGTGCACCTTCAGATCCTCGACTCCCCAGAGCACCCTGATCTGAACGCTCCCCTCTGTCCCGCGTCCTGTCTGCCTTCCGCTCCTCGCTCTTTCTGATACAGTCATTTAACGGATAACTAGTTTATCCCATGAGAAGGAAGCACCCCCGAGCACCGTGACCCCTGCCAGCCCCGGCCGGCCTGGACTGCCGGCATCCATGCTCAGTATGTTAAGAAGGTGTCCAGACTCAAACCTGGAACCTTCCCAGGTGGCTCAGCCTCACAGAGTGTCAGGTTTACCGTCGTGCCGCTGTCTGCACCCCCTTGCTTCCCTGCACAGACCTGGCTCCGAGCGGCCAGCTCACTGGGGCAGTGCTGCTGCCCTTGTTCTTTGTCCTCAGATGAAGGCCCGCTCCCCAGCGCTTCGTCCCCCAGAGCGGCGCTCAGCCGCTGCACCCACAGCCCCACGCCTGAGCTCCGCTGTGAGCATCCTGGTCCCAGCTTCCCCCCCACCTCCAACCAGGGTCTCACTTCTGTCCTCTGCGGACTGGCAGAGGGAAAGGCCAGCTGGGAAAGGAGCCCTGCAGCCCTCCTCCCTGGGGCTGGGGCGGCTGCACGTGGCCTGTTACGGTGGGGGGAACCACAGACCAGATGCCGGCCGCAGAGCCTCCCGGCCCGGCGGGACAGAGAAAGCAGGCCTTGCTGTGCATTCCCTCGTGGTCTCGCCTGGGACTGACCGCACGTCTGCCATCTCGCCCCGCCCTTGCAGACGCCTACCCCAACTCCGAGGTCGTCTATGTCTGGACCAACGGGTCCACCAAGTCCGTGGTGGTGGCGGAAGACGGCTCCAGACTGAACCAGTACCACCTGATGGGGCAGACGGTGGGCACCGCGAACATCAGCACAAGCACAGGTGAGAACCCTGCAGCCGGGTGCACACGGGACACGCCACACAGAGCCGGGACCCAGGTGCACGTGGGACACGCCACACAGAGCCGGGACCCCAGGTGCATGTGGGATACACCCACAGAGAGCTGGGACCCCAGGTTCACAAGGGACACGCCACACAGAGCCGGGGCCCATGTGCACACAGGACACGCCACACAGAGCCGGGGCCCCAGGTGCACGTGGGACACACCCACAGAGAGCTGGGACCCCAGGTTCACAAGGGACACACCTACACAGAGCTGGAGCCCCAGGTTTACACGGGACTCGCCTACACAGAGCTGGGGCCCCAGGCCCACTACACAGGAGGGGTGCTGACCAAGCATGGCGCCCTGCCCCAGCCAGCTGTGCTGTCCTCGGTGACGCGGGGGCAGCCACTGCCAGGGCCGGCCTAGAGGGATCCTCGCCAGGCCCTCCTGGCAGCTGCTCCCCGAGGACCAGCTGTGCGGCTGCAGCATCGGGGCAGCGAGAGGCACTAATCTTGGGGTGTTTAGCACGGCCGTGCCGGCAGGCCCTGCTTACATAACAGCCCTGCCCAGGCCTGGCCACTGCAGGAAAGGTGGCCAGTGTTCTGCGGACACTGCCAGGCCCGGCCCTGCCTCCCGTGGAACATCCCAGAGCTCTCTGGGGCTGCACTGGGGAAGCACGACCACCCAGCCTGGAGAAAACTGGCCATGAGAGGCAGCAGGGCTCTCCGTCCCAACCCCACGCCACGCGGGGTAGCCCGAGCTGTGCAGGGCCGTCCACACTGGCTGCACTGGGCAGAGGGGTGGGCATCCACGGAGCAGGCCAGATCCTACCTCATGGGATCTGGCCATAGCCTGCAGCTGTGTGGTCAGACGCCCTTGGCTGTGGGCAGGCCGGCCCACCCGCTCGCGGTCAGCAGGTAGGGCTGGACTCCACGGGGTGTCCGTACAGCAGAGGCCGAAGACCTTGGGGTAGGTGAGCCCCGGCCGCAGCCTGAGCCTCAGAGGCCGTCATGGGGCTCTGGCAGCATTCCTGTCTGCCAGCCTCACCCCCTTGGCTGGCAGAACCCAGGACACTTGTTACTGCCTCATGTGTACACGCGGGGCCGGGACTCTGCTGCCCGGCTGCCTGGGAGTGGACACCGGAGGATAGCACAGGAGAGGGCAGAGGGAACGGGCCAGTGGCATGGGAACCAACGTGTGTCATGGTAGGAGTGTGGGTGCACTGAGGTGCCCGTGAGGGCACTGTGGGGTGGGTGCACTGAGGTGCCCGTGAGGGCTGTGGGGTGGGTGCACTGAGGTGCCCGTGAGGGCACTGTGGGGTGGGTGCACTGAGGTGCCCACCAGGGCTCTGTGGGGTGGGTGCACTGAGGTGCCTGTGAGGGCACTGTGGGGTGGGAGCCTTATGTGGCTCTTTAAGGGTCTCCACCTGGACTCGGCCCTGTCTACACTCTGAAAAGGTCTTTTTAACAAACGCAGTGTCTGACCTTTCACCTCCAACCCAAATCAAAGCAAGTGAGAAGAGGAGCCCCAGCAGGGAGACAGTGAACACAGAGGCAGGAAGCCGCGTAGGGGTTTTTAGGTCAGGCTGCCCTGGGGGTGGGCTGCTTCGCGCCTCCCCAGGTGTTGAGAGGTGAGGGCCCTGTCTTCGCCCTGTCCCTTCTGCCCTGGCCCCACTCCCAACACGTGCCCGGGGTGGGGGAAATGTACCCGCCATCAGGTGCCCCATGCACTGCTAGGGCTTCGGCGTCTTGGAGGGCTTTCAGCTGTGACCTTCCTGGTCCCTTTGTACCTGCAGCTATGACAGGTTGTGAGTAAAGGCCTCAGGGGTGAGCACAGCTGGCACAGTGGGCTGTGGGCTCAGCCTGCAGGGCAGGGCAGGGTGCCAGGATGTGCTGGCCATGCACCATCAGCCCCGCAGCCTGGCGCTGTGTGTGCAGCTGCGGCCGTGCCCCTCACGTATGCCCCTCCGGGCTCTGCCCCAGCTGGCTCTGCAGGTTCCCGGAGCAGCCCAGCTCTGGTCAGGCCGTCTCCTTGCACCTCAGCCAGAGCAGGACTGTCCTCACACCCACTCGGCCCTGCCCACTTCTCTGGGTCTCTCCCACCAGGGAAGTGCCGTGCCGAGGAGCACCCCGAGACCTCGGCCCAGCAGGCCTCCTGACCTCTGCCCAAAGCCCGTCCGCCAGAGCTCCTTACCAGTTAACCATCAGGAAGGCATCGTTCTCCGCGATAAACGGGAGGTCCCCCTGCACCTCCCACATGGCCAGGCAGATCCAGAGAAGGCCCTGGGGCATGGCCAAGGACGTCCGGTTCCAGAGAATGAGGGTGCCCAGGCTCGGGTCAGCGCAGAAGGGATGTGCGGCCAGCCCCCACGGCCTTCCGGGTGTGGTTTCTCGGCCTCCAGTCAAGGGGCCAGCGAGCACAGAGCCTGCCGTGCGTAGAGGGGCTGTCCCACCTTCTGGGGGGCCTCCTGGCTGAGAACTCGGAAGGAATCTGTCCAGCCGCCCTGGGCTGTGATGCCCAGGTCTATGCGGGGAGGCTAAATCCAGCAATCCTGACCGCGGTCGTGCCGGGGGCGGGGCAGGCAGCACAGATTGTCAGTGGGGATTAGCGAGCCAAGCAGATCTGACCTTCCCTGGAAAAGCAGCTGCAGCCGAGGCCCTGGTCAGAGGACGCGGCCCGCGGCACCCCGAGGACGCCCACTCGGGTCCTCTGCTGCACCCACCTCGGTGCTGGACCGGCTGAGCGGGTGAGGGAGGCCCTGCTGACTTGCGCGCCTTGGCCCCGCAGGCGAGTACACCATCATGACGGCGCATTTCCACCTGAAGAGGAAGATCGGGTACTTCGTCATCCAGACCTACCTGCCCTGCATCATGACAGTCATCTTGTCGCAAGTGTCCTTCTGGCTCAACAGGGAGTCCGTCCCTGCCAGGACCGTGTTCGGTAAGTCCCTCGCTGGTGCTGGACTGCGGCGTGCTGTGACAGCCCCAGGCTCCTCCACAGAAACGACAACCAGCACAACACGTCTGCTGCCGCCTCCCCATCGTGACCTGAGACACAAACCGGCCAGTCAGCGCTCGCTAGGGACTGCATGTCGGGAATCAGGGCTTAGGGTTCACTGGGGACAGGGGACCAGGGTCACGCACGGTCTCATGTGACCATAATTTCCATTCTGTAAAGTCCACCTTCGGTGGGACTTACCACTGCCTGGCACCTCTCAGAGTACGACTGGGCACGTTATCGGGCAGCTCCTTCGAAACGTGCGCGCCTCAAACTTTACAGCCAAGTGGCAGCACAACACAGCTGAAGTTCACACACACACGGTCTGGAACGGCACCCTGCAGCACCGCTCAGACGGACACTAAGCTCGTAGGTGGTCACAGGGACCCTCTGATATGACCTTGAAGCCCCGTTCCCTCAGACGCATGAGAAACAGCAGGAGTGACAGACACTCGTGTCCCTCTGAGCCACGAACCCAAGGCCCACGTGCGCCCCGGCCCTCGCAGGCTCCCTCACCAAGGCGAAGACACTGGCATGCATCTTGTTTGAGGGCTGTGCTCACGGTGGCAGGACGCCCAGGATCCCGGGGACATCGGGAGTGAGTGGCCCGGGAGTGCATGTGTGTCTATCCAGGGCCCTACCTCCAGCACCTTCCAGCTTCCCTGGTCAGGAACGTTCAGGAACGTTCCGGGGAGGCTCGGAGGCTGGCTGGCAGCCCGGCAGTGACCTCGAGGAAGCCTGCAGGGCACATCCGGGGTACAGGAACAGTCCGGCACTCGGGGCGGTTACTGTCTGCTTCCCCCGGAGACTCCCCAGGCACGTGAGGATGCTCACAGACCCAAGGACACCTCCCCCAGCACCAGATCAGTGGGATTTCTAAGGAAAATCAAGCTGTCTACCAGCTCCTCGTTAAGCATTAACCCAGGCAGGTGGCAACTCAGCAAGCACGTGTGAGCCTCTGACCGAGAACTAAAGCTGCCGTGACCACCCCTGACACCGCTCCCTCGTGGCCACAGCCCACTGCCTCGTGGCTGGGAAGGGACGGGAACCACAGGCAGTCAGCGACCTAGGCCCCGCTCCCGGCTTCCCGGAGCTCCTCGACTTGAGACAGCAGAGCTCCCGCCCTCGCCCGGCGTCCTCCGTATGTGGGCCCGTGCCCCAGTGTCCCCTTTTCGTAAGGACCCAGTCCTGTTGGAGTGGGGCCCACCCTAATGACCTTGCTCCTACTCGAGGAGTCTGTAGAGACCACGTGTCCCAGTCAGGTCTGGTTCTGAGAGGTCAGGGCCCCAGGTGTGCATGCGGACTCCCCGCAGGTGTGGAACACCTACGTCCCCCTCCGGCACGTGTGGACAGACTGAGCACGAAGCACAGGCACGTGGCAGCCCCTGATGTCAGGCCAGCACACCCGGGTCTGAGGATGGGCTGGGCATTTCCAGCAGAGGACCTGGGGACCTGGGGACATGGACCCCCAGCTGCAATGTGGGGACAGTGACACCCATCAGAGTGGGCTCAGCTCGGACTCCTATGTCTACTCAGTGGCAGGTGCTCGTGGGCTGGTGCAGAGCCTGCTGGCCCTGAGGGAGCACCCCAAGGACCTGGCCTTGCTGTGTCTTATGCAGTCCCCAGAGGCCATGGGCTCCTGCAGAGCGGCCTCCAGGGGACACTGCCCAGACAAGTCCAGACAGGGTGGCCCCAGGAACCTCCAGTTGGGTTAATGCACGTGACAGGGATCCCACCTCTTCCAGGTGTCTGGTGGGTCCCTGCCCCTCCACGGGGCATTTCTGAGATGTGGTGTGAGCGACTAGCACTTCTGCACGGGGTCTGGCCCGAGGCCCACGAGCCGTTGCCTGGCTGGGGCCAACGCAGGGGCCACGTCAGAGCGCTCTCTCTGCCGGGGGGAGGAGACGGCGGTGGTGAATAAACGAGCACCTTGTTAGGGCCGTGAGGGCCGGCTGTTTGGAGACGGGGTGCAGAGGTGTGGGCCGGGAGGCCGGTCTGCCCGTCACATCGGGGTACTGCTCGGGGGCGCCGTGCAGCACTGACCCATCTGTCTCCCACTGTCCCCACGCCCGCAGGGGTGACCACAGTGCTGACCATGACGACCCTCAGCATCAGCGCCCGGAACTCCCTGCCCAAGGTGGCCTACGCGACAGCCATGGACTGGTTCATCGCCGTGTGCTACGCCTTCGTCTTCTCCGCGCTCATAGAGTTCGCCACCGTCAACTACTTCACCAAGAGGGGCTGGGCCTGGGACGGCAAGAAAGCCTCGGAGGCAGCCAGGATCAAGGTACCGGCTTTCCTCTCCAGACCCCTTGGCCGAGAAAGCAAGCCCGGTCCATGTCCACGCACGGGACAGGCGCCTCCCCTCCCCTGCCCAGCCCCAAACAGCCCCTCCGTCCCAGCTGCGCCCCGTATGAAGTCTGCTTTCAACAGGTGCCTTCTCTAGTCGGCCTTCAATAACGAACTTTGCTCAGGCAAGAGGCTGAACTGGTGGGAACAGCTCAGGCTTGCTCACCCTCAAGCCTACTGTTTTTGCAGAAGTAACTCCAGCCTCCTTGCCTCTTCAGGGCCACCTGTTGAGTTTTAAATTGCACCGTTCATTCTTCTTTCTGAAAGCTCTGCACTTGCCAGAGATGCCTCATTAACAGTCATGCCGCAGCCCCTTCTCATCTCCCCCTGCTCTGGGGATTCTGGCACGCATGCACATACACCCGGCATGACTCTCAAGTCACCAGGTCCAGGACACGAACCGCTGGTTGGCCATGTGGAATCCAGCCGCTTCAACCTCCAGACCATAGGGCCGGCCCCTGTGCGACCCATTCTTTGCTTGTTCTTGCACCACTTTGCCAGGCAGGGGGCTTCTTCAGGGCCGTGTTCCAGTCATGAAGAGGCCCACGGCCTCTTAGTAGGGACATGTCAGCCACATGCCTGGGCTGAGTAAGGAGCCACCCCATGCCCGCGTAGGGGAGTAGCTGAGGAGAGGAGGACACCATTCAGACAGCCACCGAGGAGTTGAGGGGCCCTGTGTTTGCAGCCTCCTGCCTCAGCCTCCCCGCCGGGACTGTGGGCACGCCG